TTCCCTTCTAATATGGAGCTCCTCTCCACACTGGGCATCCTCAGAAGGTATTCATGGGAAACATGAAGGCATAAGTAATTCCTTAGTGTCAGGCCGGGGGCCAGATGCTGGGGATACAGGAAGGCACCACCCCTGCCTCCGAGGGCCTCCCCCGCTGGTGGGAGACAGACAAGAACACCAGGGCAGTACTGCAGTGCGCTGAGCATGGAAGCAATATGAGAAACACCTGAATCTGGGAGAGGTCACTGAGAATTTCCCTCGAGGCACATTACAGCTTTGTTTTTCTATTGTGGTAAAATATACACAACATAAAACCTACCATCTTCACTATTTTTAAGTGTACAGTTTAGTGGTGTTATGTACATCCACATGGTTGTGCAAATCTTCAGAACTCTTTCGTCTTGCAAGACAATGCTGTATCCATTAAACAACTACTCTCTGTTCTCCCCTGCCACAGCACATAGCAACCACCATTCTACTTCCTGTCTCTATAAATGTCATGGTTCTAGTGACCTCACATAAGTGGAATCATATGTATGGTTTGTTTTTGTTTTTTGCTTTGGTGTGTGTGAGAGAGAGTGGCTTATTTCACTGAGCATAAAGTCCTCAAGGTTCATCCATGTTGTAGCAGGGGTCACAGTGAGACTTTGAGGAATTCAGGAAGTGACCAGAGCCTGACATTAGCACTGGGAATGGAGAGAGGCCTCAAAAAGATGTGGAGGTTCTACCACAGGTTCTGAGACAGAGAGGTTGGGATTAGGACAACTTCCATAGCAGGCAGACCCTAGGGTGGCCCCCATGGTCCCCCTGATGTTCATGCTCCATGTAATCTCCCCCCACCCGACCCCACACCAGGGGTAGGTGGGACCTGAGACTTGCTTCTAGGCAACAGAATATGGCACAGGTGAAGGGATTTTACAGATGTGGTCAAATTCTCAAAGCAGTTGATTCTGAGTTAACCAAAAGGGAGAATTATCTTGAGTAGGCTGATGTAATCAGGTAAAAACCTTTAAAAGGGGGATGGAGCCCCAGCAGAGGTGAGAGACATCCCTTATAGGCTTGAGGACGTCAGCAGTCATGTCAAAGAAACTCCTCATGTGGCAAGGATCTGTAGGCGGCCTCCAGCCAACATTCAGTAAAAAGAAGTCAGACAATCAGAAGGAAATGAATTCTGCCAACAACCTGTGGGAGCTTGGGAGCTGCTCCTTCTCCAGTCAGGCCTCTGATGAGAATGGCACCCATCCACACCTCCACTGCAGCCTTGTCAGACCCTGAGCGGAGGACTCAGCTCAGCCATGTCCAGACTCTTGACCCAGGGGACCTTGAGATAATAATTGTGTTGCTTTAAGCTGCTAGGGTAGTGGTAATTTGTTATGGAATGATAGAAAACGAATACAGCTTCCAAGGTTCCTGGGATGCCGCCCTAGGAAACAGCCAGGAACAGGAGGAATATCACCGCAGATACCATGCACGGAGCACTCACTCGATGGCAGGCACTGTGCTAAGAATTTGAATGGCTCCGATTTATTACCCACAACAATTGTGTTAATTGACCATTGTACAAAGGAGTCCCCCTCTTGAGAGAAGTGGGCAGGCCAATCATGTTTAGCAGCCCAGAGTCTGTACTCCTTCCTCTCCAAGCCCAGCCAAACAATCCCCAATCAGAAAGCCTGTGATTTCTGCTTTAGAAATTCCAGAATCTGTGGGCCCTTAATCAAGCCTTTCTTCCTTCCGTTGTCACCAGCTGGATTTTAGTAAGTACCATGGAGCCCACTGAATTTTATGCATCCAGCGGAGAAGAATGAGCCTCAAGACATTTCAGGACTCATCTTCCCTGAAGAGGAGGCAAGGAATATTCAGACATTTTTTTATTACTCAAGAGAAGTTTTATTTAGGTGGACACAATAGTGCAGAACCAAAACAGCATTTCACCTTTATCTATGGACACCACAGCCTTGATTTTAGCTTGTTATCCCCCCCTTAAAAGAAGTCAGCACGACCAGAAGGAAGACCTGGACAATTGACCCATGTGGGAATGAATACAAAATACAAGAGTGATAACCACCCAAACACAGAGCTTTCAAGGTGCTCGTACTGGTTTTAAGGATCGTTTTCTAAACCATGATATGTTCTCATCCTTTGTGGAATAGAAGCCATCATTCTTTCCAAATGGCACAGCAAAAAGAATAAACATATTTTCCTTTAAAACTTTTGAAGAAATTTAGTCACTAAAAAGAATTTAAATTACACCTAGAAGCACCACTTACAGAATACCATTAAATTGTACTTAGGATGCTTTTAAAAAGCCACCTCGCTACAGAGGAGCTGATGGCTTCAGTTTTGTAGGGACGCCGGTGACGCTGTACAACTCTACAAGATTTTCCTCTTCTGGTGGGCGGCTGGGAGACACTCAAGGCACCAGGAGCTTTTATAACTTTCAGGAACTTGAATAACAATTACTGACCAAGCCCGCATGCTTTCAGTGGCAAAGCATTTTCACTGCTACAAAGAGAACCCAGAACACAAAACATTTCATTTCAAGCAGGCAAAACCAGTCACAGGTGAACATTTATGATAGTCCACAAATAACACATTATCTTCTTTCTTTAAAGGTTTCACTTTACATGTGAACAAAAGGAGCCAAAAGGCCAATGATTGCCCAGCAGGAGCTAGTTCATCTCAATGACCAGAGATTAAACCTCAATTACCGACAATGGTGGCACCATTCAATCAACGGTTCTCTTCATGAGGTTCTTCGGGGAAATTACGGAGACCAGGACCTTTACAATGTTCATTGCCCTAATCATTGCAGGGCAGCATTGAACTTATACTGAACTTGGGAGGTGGTCACAACTACCTCCACAATAAAAAGCTAAGAACGGTCACTACTTATCAGTATAAACCTATTCATCTTCCCCCTCTACCAGGAAGCTAAGTGAGCTCCCTTCCCCTCTCCTGCGGAGAACCATCTGCCTTTTAACATCAAATCACAGTTGCCAACAAATGAGGAGTTATCACACTGGTGTGTTTATGGATTCAACAAACATTTGAGAATGCCTATTACACGACAATCATTGCTTTAGGAGCTTCAGGTACAGCAGTGGATAAAAACTCTCAACCTTGTGGATTTTTCTATTTACTCTGGACTGACAATAGCAAAATGAACCAAACATGCACGCATTAAAAATGAACCAAACATGCACACATTAAAAAAAAAAAAAAGTGTGCACCCGCCTCTAAGCGCTGAACTAATTCTCCCAGGAACGAGGCAGTACTGCCCTGCAGTCCTACGTTGGCTCATCCTTCGATAGGAGAGGATACCCCGTCAAAAGGCTGCTTCCACAAATGAAACATGAACATGCCACAAGACCCACCACACAACCGGAAGTTCCCAGCTTCCTCACAAGATCACTACGAAGCAGGACAAAGCATTTTACAAGTGTTAGTCCACCCTCCTCACATTCCAGCGAGGCTGCCTGGGGACAATGATTCTGATATAGAATAAGCAGCCCCTAGTGGCCGGAGAGAGAACAGTGGTCAATGCCAACTGCCTGGCCGATCCAGGCTACCCACGCCAACTCTTGTAGCTTTTCCATCTGATTTAGAAAATGAAGTCAGTTACTCAATAGGAACACTTCCCTCAAAAGGGAGCCTTCCGCTGAGGTTCACTGTGGAAACACAAGGGCAGTGGGGGCCTCCATGCTGCTGTGCAGTGGCCTTCAGCCATTAGAGCACAGCTTAGCCCTGGGTGTGTGGGCTGTGACCCCAGAAGGTTTATGTAGATCTGAAAAGAAGGTATTTAGCTTTAAAAAATATTTCCAAGCGAGTTTGTGACCTCCCAGAAGTTTAAGAACCTCCGCGTTGGAGGGTCTCTGTCTGTTCTTGGTAGGATTATACACGCAGCTGGTCACTGCATTCAGAATGAAGGGCTCAGTCCCAGCTGCAACTCGGGTGCTACGAGTCTGGTTCAGAGGCTGCCTGGTGGTTTACTAGGCAGACCTGGCTCAGAGATAAGGTCAAGTGCTAATTGAGGGTAAGGATAGAGGGATGAGAAGTTCATTTAGGAAGTTTGTCTCCTTTTATAGAGCAATGAATGTCTCCTTACTCTCAGGAATCTGGCTGCTCAAATTGGTTCACTAAGCCAGCACCACACAGTGGATAGATGGGTTAACTTTCCTAGGAACACTTTTTTTTTCTAAGCAAAGATGTATGCCACCCACCTCCACTTCCTGGCGGCACGACTGTTGTTCTCAGGCAACCAGCCCATGGGCTTGTCCTCCCCACCCCATGCCAGGTCAGGTGTGAAAGGTGATCGGAGTGACTGGAGCTCTTCACTGTTCAAAATCACCGCCTATATCGTGGTTTTGTCCAGGCTTCCACGTGGGGGCACATGGCTGTAGAGCTTCTGGGAAAAACTGGAACTAGACTCTCAAAGCCATCAGCCTAAGACACTATGAAAAAGAGAAAAACGACAGGCATTTCCCAGGAGCATAGAGCAGCGGCTGTGCGTTTTCTGGAAGGGTCTTTATTTTGGCTCCTCTTCTTCTTGCACCTGCCTGTCTTCGCTGCCTTTTACTAGACTCTGCTCTCCTCGAGATGGGGACGTGTCTTTTTCATGCCCACCTAGTCGGTGATTAGTGTCACAGACCCTCTCAGAGCTCTGAGAGTGGGAACGGGGACACGAACAGAAGCCCATTAGAACCCTGATGGGAGGATGACACATGGCGGGACTTAGAGAGTTCCTGTCTCCTAAATAATGTATCCACTTTACTGCTTCAACATGCACATCAGGGACCGTCTACAGGAAAGATGAGGCTTTTTGGAAGAAAAGCGTAGCATAGAAAAATATGTATTTTCAAATTATAAAAAGCAATGAATGTAGAGTATGGTGACTTAACACCTCAGATACAATGACATGAGCATGTAGCAAAATTGGTTGCTTAGATTACTGCCATTTTCACTATAATTTAGTGGTAATAAATATCATATAATAAGAATAATTTAAAGCATAGATTGCATCCTTAATTATTTATTATTAGCTCTCCATCTCAGAAACCATCACAGAAGCACAAATGAAACCTGCCTGCCTTTGTGAGTATTTTGAAAGACAAAGAGCAGCTTATATAACTTTTGTTCTTCACAAAACTGTTATTCCATCAGGTCAACACTGTCCCTAAGAGCCACATGTAAACTTCGAGGTACCTGAGGATTGCTTACATTAGCAATGTGTTCACTCTCTAAGAATAAAAATGGGGAGGTCCACAGATGTCATTTTTTAAAAGTTTGTATAAAATGTAAACATAGTTAGGATGTCTTTACATGGTCAGAATTGGTTAGAGTTGTTATATATTCTTAGCTTGAAAATGTTTACAAAATAACACTTGTATTTATAATAGGTACCCTTTTGTCACATTTATTCTATAATTCTCCATCAATGTTAGAATGCTCTTCCCAAATGGCCTCAATTCTGACACCGTATGACACTAAATTAAATGTGTAAAAGATGTGCTTAAATATAAATAAAATACACTGCCAACCTGTGCTGGCTTCAGGCACACGGTATGGCAGCTGTCATTTATACGTTCTGATCACAGAAGGTAAAACGTTCCTCATTTTAAACATTCTGTGTTCAGTTAAGTTTGTTTACGCAGCACCCTGTTTCAAATGCTTTTGCTAACAGGGACTGCACTGTGAACGCCCCTTGGACAGTGCCTGAATCAACCTGTGCTGAATGTCCGGATTTCCTCAAGGGCTCTTTCAGAAGCCTTCTTTCCGGCACAGAAGTTACAATTCAGTACCCTTTAGACTCTGTCTTATAAACTAACTTGTCAGGCAGAGCAGCACAAGGGCATACCAAGCTGCAACGAACAGCGGTTAGTGTGGCTGGCCAAGGCTCTCAGGTGACAATGTAGAGAGCGCCAGGGTGTGCGTCTCTCCCAGTTTAGGACAAGTTTCTCCCAAGAGCAGGTCCGCCTCTGGGTCCACAGCCAGTGAACGTTTTCCTTGTCCAGCAGTACCGAGGGCACGTAGGAGGTGCACAGAGTTGTGGTCTGACATGCTTATTATTATTTCACAAAACAAAACAAGTCTCCCATGTCCATGCTTTCCCGAGTCTCATCACCCCATCGGTACAGAAAGGTGTTGCTCTGAGGCACAAAAAGGGCTACCACTCTTACTCTGATTAGTCTCTTCCCTTTTCATCTGATGAGAGCTCACATACTTGCTGCGGCTTACTCATCTCTGCATCGCTTCTCAAAGGAAGTGCATAGACGGCTCTCCTACAGCATTTGGAGGGCCATCATTTTCATCAGGGACTCTGTAAGTAGTGTCCCGCCATTACCAAGAGCCATTTCCTGCGAACCAGATGAAGCCCAGCAGAAGCGCTGCAGCCAAAATGAATCCCACATCACAGAAGTCACGGCTCTGAAGTTCCTGAAAACGATCATCAGCAAGAAGAATCCAGGAGTCTCTGTCGAGCATTCTGCTCCCCATTATTTGCTTTAGTTTCACTGTGTGCATTCAAATCTGTCAAAATGGAAAGAATATGTCTGTGACAGAAGTCACGCAGCACAAATTAACTTCTCTGCTGCTCTACATCTATCTCGTGTTCTTTGCCTTAGCCAACTTCACTGCACAGTGAAGTTAGGTCGGGGCAACAGTTAAACCAATACACTATCATTCCCCACGCCCCACCCCCTCTACTCTCTTTTTAAAAATATATATTTTTATTGATTCCCGAGAAGCAGGGAGAGAGAGAAAAAAGCTCCCTTTTATGAATGAGAGAAAAAGCATCAATGATGAGAGAGCATCACTGATTGCCTGCCTCCTGCACACCCCTTACTGGGGATTGAGCCTGAAACCTGGACATGTGCCCCGACCATGACCTTCAGGTCGACAATCAAACAACTAATCCATGCTGGACTGGTCTTCCATTCCCTTTTGAAAGAGACAGAGAATAAAAGACAAAAGGATCCGGGAGAAAAGACAAAAGGTACAGGGAGAAAAGCCAGTAAAACAAGACCGAAAAATAAGCAAGAATGACAGTAAGAAGAAATGCCTGAGCAAGAGGCAGAGAATGGAACAGAGAGGAGGAGAAAAAAGAGAGGACAGTCAAGAAAAAGCACAGAAGCTTTCCTTCACTGGAAATTCGGGGCCGCCCCAATTCTTTCCCTTTCTCTCTTAGTACTGAACGGTTAAGATCACACTAGGAAAATGGTTTAATGCAGAAGGGTGGGGGGGCAAAGACTGTCAATCATTCATAAAAGGGAGCTGCCAAGGCTCTCTGTGGGTTGCTTCAGGTGGAAGCTAGCCCTACCTTTGAGCTCTGCCGTCTGGTTCCCCTGCTCCTCTCCCGTCATCTCAGACTGCTTGCGATTTTTGCCGTCGACGGCATCCACCTTGATCATGCCAAGGTTAGTCAGGAGAACCATGGGGTCGATGCCCTGGCCGTCACGTTTAATATTCTCCAGTACCTTGAGGCACCTGTATGACTTGAGTTCACTTATATTCTCCTCCAAGAAAAGGTTGTAGAGGCTCAAGTCGTTGTACCCTTCAGACTTGTAATGCAGAACACCGAAAGTGGGCAGGATTTCATACACTTTGAGAACCTCCGTCTTCTGCCGGAATGGAACAAACAGCGTGTAGACAACCACGGGGACCAGCAGGATGTAAACCACCAAGTTAATGGAACTGAGCAGCTGGAAGATGCCGACGGCGATGAGTTTGCACTGAATCCGATCGGGGACGGTGCTGTCGTTTCTTAGGATCCCTGTCTTGATGCTGCAGACAAACTCGTCGGAGAGGGAGGAGAGGCTAAAGTAATAGCCCAGGTAGATGCATGCTAACACTATAATGCTGAGGGTCAGCAACCGGCAGGTGATGTACTTGACAATCAAGTTATTAGATTTTTTCTTTGTCTTCAGGTATTGTTCCACGATTGGGTACTTGAAGTGGCTTTCAGATATCTCCCACAAACTAATAAGAAAAATAAAAAGTGTTTAAACCCTTACCAAGACCACCAAATAGTTAAAGACATAAGCACATTTAACAATAGCATACTGAAAATCTCAAAAGCCTTCCTGCCCAAACTCCTCTACTGACAACTTCACTCGCACACAAGAGAATCGAATCAGGTTTGGAAAAACAAAGAATGAAAAGCAATAACAAAACACCTTTCCCCTTAATATTTTTTAAAAGGTCTACTTGGTTAAATGAGTTACATTTGTAAATTCTTCGAACACATGTTACCTAGGGAATGTACATGTTTGTTACATAAATTTTATAGTTCTTATTCTGCTGTTTTTAAACTGTAATTTTCTGCTCACTCAAATGTGCAGAATAAAGAAGAATATTCTGGCCCGGCTGGAACACACGTGCTTCCTGTTGGCAGGGGCGGGAGGGGAGGCAGACCGCTCAGTGGGTGTGGGCCCAGGCTGTGGGCCAACAGACCTGGCTCAGGCCCCATCTCGCTCACTGATTGCTACAGGACAGTGTTTTTCTCTGCAAAGGGGGAAATAATTGCTTTTGATGCTCTGAGGATTAAACGAGATCATGCACTTAGAGAACTCAGCATGATGTCTGGGATAGATTAAGTATTTTTTAAATGAGCTATTGCTAATAACAAGAATCAGAGGAAGAATGTAAAAAAGGCATCACCTACTAATTCGCTTCTGTCACACCTGCTTCCTAAGCTCAATGGTCTCATAATCCTCCGTGGTCCCCCATTAAGGTGTAGGTCAAAGCAAGTGAGCTACACCTGGTGCCCTAACTTGTTACCTCTTCCAGTGAAACAGTGATGGTTCACTCAACAAGGAGAGGACTCGATGTGAGGACAGATGCTGGGGCATACAAGTGGGGGCGAGCTTCACCCCCCACACACACACACACACCAATATCTACTAGCAATGGGAGCCCGAAGCCCAGATGGGCAGGAAAAGGGCAGAGAATGTGTGTAAAACAAAACCTGACTCGGTGCCTGCAGGGGACTAAGTTACCTTTGTCCTACGTTCTCATTAGAACCGGGAACTGCGCAGGGACCATCTCTCAGGTCGCGGTCACACATGCTCTTGGCGGCTTTAATGGCGCGGTTGTACACTCTGTCAAGTTCTTCTATGGTGAACTTCAAATCTGAGCAAATGTGCGGAGCAGCTGCAAAGCGCCAGAACAGGGAGGGCAGGTAGAGCAGGATGGCGACCAGCAACAGGATGTAGGGGAAGAACTGAAACACAAGAGAACACACCGTGGATCAAAATTCCTCTGAGGCCACCTCGCCACGCGCGTGGCTTCCTCATTCTGAGACAGCGGTGAGCGCCCGTGCCGCTGTGGGAATCAGGCTCATTACCGAATAACCGCTGCTAATGGCTAAGTCCATTTGTCCAGATAAGCTTTGATACTGGCAATCACCTTTCTCCTTCCTTTCAATAGACTTTAATTGGAAATAATTGGCCATTACAGGATGACACAGAAAGAAACAAAAATATATAAAAGTACTCCCATATCCTTTTGAGTAATTCCTCAACAAAACCCCAATCAAACTAGAGATCATTGTCACAGTGGCCTCTGCTAGGCTCTATTTTAAAAATTGCTCTAGCTTTTAAAAGGTCACTAAAATTAAGAACTCTACTTTTTTTTTTCTTTTCTTTTCCCTCTCACTCCTTCTCTGGAATCTGGGAGAATGACACAGAAATGCATAACTTTGCTCACAACAAATGAGATAAACTTTGGCTTCCGTGACTTAGGAGTCATCCCACCAAAACGCTGAAACAAGCAGCTCACCATCAGGAAAAGAGAACAAACCTTCCAAACCGGGACAGACCTGAGCTGGGCTCGACCCCCGACCTTTCCCAGCTGGACAACCTCAAGATGGGAGAAGCCGACCACATGGGCAGCAGTGTTAGGAGGAGGAGGGCATCCAGATGGAGATGGTTGTGCAAAACAAACAAGAGGGGGTCCGGGAGTTGGGAGACAGCAAAGAGCACCCTGCACCCAGGTCTGTGGGGTGGTCAGGGAAGGCTTAGCTGCAAGAGAAGACACAGGACATCCAGGAACTACAATCAGCACCCATCTGAATTTCAGCTCAGCCAGTGGCCTTGGGCAGTGAGGTCATTGAGCCTCTGACCTCAGTTTCCACAGCTATAAAATGGTCATGCAATACAGATATTAGGAGAATTAAATAATTTATGAAAAATGCTTGGCGTGGCATGTAATAGGCACTAAAACATACCAGCTAAAAGCAACGAAGGGCTCCCTGCCGGGCATGTCATCTTTAGTCCTCACGATGACTCTGGCCAGGCCTTGGTGATGGCTGCCTGCTGCAGGGAGGGGAGAGAAGTCCACAGCCATTTCCTGGCTGCAGAGCACGAGGCTGGTGACAGACAGAACACAAAGCCTGGCTTCGGACCCCAGAGGCATGCCTGTCCCACCATAATACGCGGTGAATTAGTTTGATTCTCTGGAAAGCCTTTTCCTGCTTTTGGATTGCTCCCTTCCCACAGTTCCTCGGAGTTGGATCGGGAAGAAGCCCGAGCTGACACAAAACCTCCACTCTACACCTCTCTGAGAGCGGCATTAGCCCGGGTACAGAGAGTTCTCGAATAGCCTGTTACCATCTATGTTTCTGTGGTACGCCCGTCAAGCCTAAGAAACCGTCATTGGCACATTACTGGGAACTAAATTACAGATTTTACTTAAATTACTCCAGTGTTCCCATGACTGTCTTCTTTTTGTTCCCAGAGCCATTTTGGGGTGTCCATTACACCGAGTTGTCACATCTCCCTCGTTGTCTTGGTTCCGTGACAACTCCTGAATCTTTCCTTGTTTTCCATGGAGAATAATATTTATAAGTGCATAAAATACTTCCAACCATTTTGCATGTGATTCTTTTTTATTTTATTGTTTTCAGAAAGAGAGAAGGAGAGGGAGAGAGAGAAACATCAATGATGAGAGATATCAATTGGCTGCCTCCCGCATGCGCTCCACCCCCCCCCCCCCCCCCCCCCCACTGGGGATCAAGCCTGCGACCAAGGCACATGTCCTGACTAGGAGTGGAGCAGAGACCTCCTGGTTTATGGGTCGACACTCCACCACTGAGCCACACTGGCCAGGCTTGCATGTGATTCTTTACTAACACATTCATAGAATCTAACAGATGGTCTCACAGCAGTAACTCTGAGTTATGAAGGGGAGACAGTATTCCCAGTTGTCTGTGGTTTCTGTGGGTGAAAAGTCCTAAGTACCACTCATACTATTATGGATTGTGGCACACACACTTTAATGTTAAGTTAGTTAGAAGTGCATAAAAAATAAAGCTGTCGTGTGTTTCCTATCCCAGTTACAAACTCCCTGATGCCATCACAGACCCCAGGTTAGGGATCCCTGCCACAGAGGAGAGAGAGAAATTACACGAATGGCTCGAGTTTTGCCAAGCCCTCTCACCAACATAGCGGCTTTGCCCAGGGGTTCTGGCCTGGGACGGGCCTTCTCAAGATTAGTAACCCAATTTGCATAGGGCTGCTGCACACTGACACCACAGCCAGTGGTTAGCTGAACTGGGGCTGCATAATTCGGGGTTGGCTGCATTGAGAAAGAAGCAGTGTTCCTTCAACCCTTGCCCACTCCGAAGGGTGCCCATTAGCATCAAAATGTAACTGTGCCACAGAGTTTGTGGTGTTTCCACCACCAGGCATTCTTCTTCTTCTTCTTTTTTTTTTTTTTAAATACATTGTATTGATTTTTTACTGAGTGGGAGAGGGATAATAGAGAGGTAGAAACATCGATGAGAAACATCAATCAGCTGCCTCCTGCACACCCCCTGCTGGGGATGTGCCCGCAACCAAGGTACAATACATGTCCTTGACTGGAATTGAACCTGGGACCTTTCAGTCTGCAGGCCGATGGTCTATCCACTGAGTCAAACCAGTCAGCTCCAGGCATTCTTCTTGAGAGTCACAGAGGGAACTATTGATATTTCTAACTCAGGGATGTGAGATCTTTTTATAGAACACTTTTCCTGTCAAAGCTATGTGAATAATAGCATTTTACCTCAAACTGTTCTGAATTAAAAGGTTACTTTTTACATGCAATTTTTCTAACATGCCCACTTGGTGTGATAATTAGTACCAATTGGCCATTCGGCCTGGCTTATTATAATTAGGAAAATGAATGTTTAAAGGTATTATGTAGTGGATGTTTGATTTCTCCCCAAAATACCTTTGTACCTTGACCACCCCTTGGAAATGTGGTTGAGCACCACCATTCCTTGGTGTTCTCCAGTTAAAGCTTATTTCCCACCATCAAAAATAAAAAGCAACTTTCAGCCAAAACCGATTTGGCTCAGTGGATAGAGTGTTGTCCTGCGGACTGAAAGGTCCCGGGTTTGATTTTGGTCAGGGGCATGTACCTTGGTTGTGGGCGCATCCCTAGTGGGGGGCTGTGCAGGAGGCAGCTGATTGATGATTCTCTCTCATTGGTGTTTCTAACTCTCTATCCCTCTCTCCTCCTCTCTGTAAAAAATCAATAAAGTAAAATATCTATCTATCTATCTATCTATCTATCTATCTATATAAATATGCAACTTTCAGTTAATCTGTAACAAGGTGGTATTAAACTCAATTCAATTAAAATACAAATTGAAAAAAGCATTCAATTATAGCCCAACCTTGGTTCTCGAACATCTCCCATCTTGAACAAGTTGACTCTCACCTCGAGAAGCCTTTCATGCAGACACCTGTATGACCAGTCGTGTTCCTCAGGTGACAAAGGAGCAAATGTGCGAGTAGGAGTCCGCTTACCGCTAAACCTCACGCTGTTAACATCTCAGGAGATTGTTCTGTGAAAATTTTTGTAATTTTTTTTGCTTTTGTTGCTGCTTATTAGTATTAAATTTTCAATTTTTACTGTACATTTCATTTTTTTAAGTTTTCATTTGCATTTCATGTCCTTTTTGTTTTAAAAGTGTTTATTTTTAAAAAATAATTCTTTATTGTTGAAAGTATTACAAATGTCTCCTTTTTTTCCCCATTGACCCCCTCCAGACTGCCCCACCCCCACCCCAAGACCACACTGCCCCATTGTCTGTGTCCATGGGCCATGCATAAATACACACACAGTCCCTGGTTGATTACCTCCCACCCACTCACCTTCCCCCACCTTCTCTCCAAGATTCCACATTCTGTTCCATGCTTCAAGTCTCTGGATCCACTCCCTTCATCAGTTTATTTTGTTACTTAGATTCCACATATGAATGAGATCATATGATACTTGTCTTTCTCTCACTTAGCAGGATACTCTTCAGGTCCCTCCATGTTGTCTCAATGGGTAAGAGATTCTTCTTTATTACCGCTGCATAGTATTCCATGGTATAAATGTACCACAGCTTTTTTATCCATTCATCTTCTGATGAGCACTTAGGCTGTTTCCAGATCTTAGCTATTGTAAAGCATGCTGCTTTGAACATAAGGGTGCACACATTCTTTCTCATTTGTGTTTTGGGTGACTTAGGATAGATTTTTAGAAGTGGGATCACTGGGTCAAATGGCAGTTCCATACTTAATTTTTTGAGGAAACTCCATACTGTTTTCCATAATGACTGCACCAGTCTGCATTCTCACCAGCAGTGTACTAGGATTGCCTTTTTCCACATTCTTGCAAGCACTTGTCATTTGATTTGTTGATGGTAGCCATTCTGACAGGTGTGAGGTGATACCTCATTGTCATTTTAATTTGCATCTCTCTGCTAATCAATGACTTTGAGCATTTTTTTCACATTTTTTTCACATGTCTCTTGGTCATCTGCTAAAGTGTTTATTTATAAACAGTATATTAGACATGTCCTGTATATAAGAGGGGTTAAAACAGGTAATCATTTGGGGGTCTGGAACAGATTTATTAAATTTATGTTATTTTTAATGGGAGAAAATGATTTGGTTTTCCAACAGCCTTTTGGAACGAATTAAGTCCGAGAACCGAGGTTCCACTATACAGTCTTTACAATCTTTTCACCCAAGTAAGCTGAGTTTTATGACTCCATCTGCTGGATGGACACAGCTCTGTCCACAGCTCCCTCTCCACCCAATTAGGTCTGAGATGTTCAGCACCTCTCACAGCTGTGACAGCAGGTTTTTGCACGATGCCTGAGGGGCACTGAGTTCTTCCAGTGATGATGAAGCTTCTGAAAGCAGCGCGGGAACAAGCAGTTGGCACACTTTTTGGTCTAACTGT